AACTGGAGGCTCTGGGGAGCCATGAGCCTGAACACTGTCTCCACACTTGGGGACAGCTCTCAACATCAGTGCAGGTTGCTAATTCAGCCCCTCTGTTCTGCCTCAGTGACAACCACAGGAAGCAGCCAGGTATCTTAAAAGAGGACCCCATACTGCCCAAAGGTCCCTCTGTGTTCTCGCAAATGGCAGGCTGTACCTTCTCTTTATAAGAGTAGTGTTCCATTGTAGATGCACACCAATTCATCCATTCGTTTATTGATGGACACTTAAGTCACATCCATGTCATGGCCATCCTATATAATAAAAGGCTAATATACAAATCGACCAAATGGTGGAATGCTATGATGTGCACTGACCACCAAGGAACAGACACTCAATGCAGGAGCTGCCTCTTGGTGGTCAGTGCACTCGGACAGGGGAAGCGCTGCTCAGCCGGAAGCTGGGATCACAATTGGTGAGCACAGCGGTGGTGGTGGTGGCGGCGGGAGCCTCTCCTGCCTCTGCAGCTAAGGATGTCTGACTGTCAGGAGCCCTCAGGGGATGTCTGACTGCCGGCTGAGGCCTGAGGGCTCCCGGACTGCGAGAGGGCACAGGCCAAGCCGAGGGACCCCTCTAAGTGCGTGAATTTCATGCCCTGGGCCTCTGGTTGTGAATAATGCTGCTATGAACATGGGGTACAGGTATTTCTGGGATAATGATTTCCTTATGCTGTGGACATCAAAAATCTCATAGAAACAGATCAGATTTGTAGCTGCCAGAAGTGAGGGTTAGGGGGAGTGGGGTGGGAGAATTGGGTGAAGGTGGACAAAAGGTACAAACTTCCAGCTTTAAGATAAGTAAGTCTTGGGGATCTAATGTACAGCATGGGAGGCTATAGTTAATAATAATGGGTTATGTATTTGAAAGTTATTAAAAGAGCGTATCTTAAAACTTATCATTGTAAGGGAAAAAATTTAACTAGATTTACTCTGCTGAGCATTTCACAGTACATACATATCAGTTATGTTGTACGCATGACACTATGGCTGGCTTCTCCTCGTGCTGTTTGGAACCTCCGATGTAGGTTAGTAGTTAGGGAACTGGTGACATCGAAGAACTTGCTTGGCATGTCTGTGCCCCCACTCCCAGAGGCTCAGGAACTCTCTCATGGTGAGATGTGGCAGTGACGGGGAACTTGGGGGCTCTGGAGCCAGACCCTTTGAACTGGAGCCACACTGACTTGCTGTGTGACCTTGGGTAAATCATGTAGCCTCTCAGATGCCTCGTATAAATGGTACCAAGCACATATGATGCCACAGGGATTACATGAAAGAGTGAAGCGCCTCCAGTGGCCCAGGTACCCCATGTTGTTGACAGTCTCCCCTTCCTGCCCTGGTGACCGTATTTGGCTGAAGCAAGTGGTGGAAGCTGAGCGTTTATCAGGCTCCATACCGTCTGTAGAGCCTGGCACTGGGACTCCCACCGGAGAGGCCCCAGTCTCTGCCTCCAGCACCCCAGCTCTTAGCCGTGTCCACGCCTTGGGATGATGGAGACACACAAAGGCCTTTGAGTCACACAGAGGGTGAGGAAAACCGCTGTAATCTGTTTTTCAAAATTGTATTATTTTAAATGCCCTGGGTGGATGCCCATGTGCAAGGACACTCAGCTGGGCCAGAGGCACTTTGTCCCCTGAAAGGCCCCATTGTGACCCCAAACTGGCCTGAGTGGTCCCGGAACAACAGGCCCTTGTGTGGCCCCAAAGGCTACTTGCTCGGCCCACGGCTGGCAGTGTGAGCATTTTGCTCTTCAAGGTCAGCACAGGGAGACTGTGGGTTCTGACAAGTCTCTTTAGTTCTGTTCTAGAATGTCAACAAGGCCCAGCTCCTGAGAACTGTGTCCTCCCCAGAGGGTGTATCCAGTTGGGACCCATGTGAGCAGAAGGGAGGATCGGGGTCTGTCCCCTGGGATTGAAGGCAGATGAAACCCCTCACAGGCCACCACGCCTTGCTCAGAGAAGGCCCCCAGGAGGTGCCACCAGGGTCCCCATGAAGCCAGGGGCCACGGCCACTGTAGCCACAGGCCAGGACATCCACCAGCCCAGCTGAATTTGACTCACAGCCATCTTTCTTTCCTCCGAGATGTGCACTCTCACCACACACTTGTGATGGTGGTGGGTTCTGCTCTGAAGGCTTTGGCTCTGGGTCACATCGCAGACATCAGCTTCTTACCTTCTTTACAAAGCAGCGCCATTACACTGGCACCGCCATGACTTCACCCCCAGTGGTCAGGGGCGGGGCCTCTGAAGGCCCTTGCCCACTGGCATGGGACACACTACAGGGTCTCGTCTCACTGTCACTTCCCAAGGGGCTGGAGGACAGACTTGCAGGAGGACAGGTCTGGGCCCTGGAGGGTAGCAGGTGAGCACTTGGCTCCAGGGACAGCAGGAGCAGGCCCTGAGTGCAGCTCCCCACCTGAGTGGAGGTGTCCTCACTCGTGAAGCGACAGCTGCGGTAGCCACTGGCAGGATGAAAGGACCCTACAGATATGTAAGGTGCATAAGGACCGGACCCAAGGAGAGAGCTCCAAAGGTGGCCGTAAGATGATCACACATGTGCAGTTATGGGTCTCACCACGTGGGTGGGTGTTGGTGCTACCTGTCCACATCAGGGCCGCCAAGCAGACGACATATAAAGAATGCCCCACTGGCTGCTGGGGTGGCACCAAGAGAGGCCCCAGAGGAGGCTCCCCCAGCCCAACACCAGAGGCAGAAGGGGGAGGCGTGGTGGCCACAAGAAGCTTTGGGGAACAGACACCATTCCATACCTTGAGGGACCAAAGTTCCCAGCACACAGTAGGTGCTCAATCATTGCCCATCAACCAGTATTTGGACCTGCAAACATTTCTAAAATAGCTGATGCAGGAACTGAGCAATGAGATGCATGGGGTGGGGGAGGGAGGGCAGGGTGGCCTCTGGGGAAGGAAATGGAAGCCAGGGGAGGGCATTTGTGAGGCTGCCCATCCCATTAACCTGCATGGTGAACCGATGCAAATTGAAGGCCCCATAAAGCTGTCAGATTGCAAAGTTAACTCTGAGGTAGGGGCAAGAGAAACTCCTATGGGAGAGGCCTCCTGCAAAGCCTTGGGCTGGTGAAGGTTCCACAGTTGGGCCCATTTGCAACTGAGAAAGAGAAAATAGAGAAAGATCATATCAAAGTTTAAAGAGTGGGATTAAAATGTGGAAACCTTGACAAACTAAGCCTTTCGCTTCTCTGTTTTGATTGGGGGTGGGAGTGTCAAAAGCAAGTTCCATTAGCATCCTGGTGCTGGCTCACTGCAGTTTTGTTTAAAAAGTGAGACTTCCCTCAAGCCCCAATCAAACCTTTGCTCCTGCCGGCTCATTTGGGTGGAGCTCCGACCCTGACCCATACACAGAAAGGTTTCGGGTTTGACTCCCAGTCAGGGAACATATCTAGGTTGTGGGACTGATTCCCGGTTGGAGCATGTACTGGAGGCAAGTGATGAATGGTTCTGTGGCATTGATGTTTCTCTCTCTCCATTCCTCTCTCTCAAATCAATAAAAAAAATCCTCAGGTGAGGATTAAAAAAAAAAATTGCTCCTAATTTACTATGAAGACTTTACTTACAATTGGTGTTAAGTGGACTCATTAAAAGGGTCCCTTTTCTGCTATCATTACTCTGGGATAGTAAAAGACAACCTGAAGATACCCCGAGACCCAGCTCAGTCAGGGGGTCCCCAGATTGGAAGGGAAGTAAACTGTCTACTAGTTGAACCTCTGCCTGATGCTTTAATCTTTGCCCTGCGTGGCCACCGGCAGGTCAGGCAGCCTCTGCCTGTGCAGCGCATGGCCGGGAGCTAACAGTGTTTGAGGCACCCGCTCTGGTGTCCCAGTCTGAACATCACTAACTTCTTTGGGTGACAGGACAAAGGCGCATTTGACGCTGAGAGCTGGGCTTCCAGCAGTCCTGAGTGCCCTCCTTCCTAACCGCCCTGTCCTTTCAATCCAGACACCTCATCCCCGCAGCAGGCGCTCACCATTGTTTCTCCGCTTCGGAGTCTGTTCCTTTTCTCTCCCATGAAGTGGCACAAGGAAATCCTAGAACAGTTTGCCATCCACGCCCCTCACTGGAGCAGAATCAGCGCACAGGACCAAGTGTTTCTGTCCCGCTGCCCAGAGCATGAGAAGCGCTTTCTGCACCTTGGTTTCTGTGGCTTAAAGACGTTCTAAATGAGCACAGACCCTTGTCTTGTAGGGAAATGAAGGAGGCCCTCTGGCTGGTACTTGGGGAGTGTCCAGGGAGGATGAGGCCATCCTAGCACACGCCCTGGTAGCTGGGGCGGGCGGATGCCCAGTGCCAGGCTCTGAGATCATTGCAGTGGCCAAGCACACAGCTGCCACCTGAACTGCCATCTGACGCTGCCTCTAGAGTCACTCTGCACCCAGGAGGCCTTGGAAAGAAAGTGGACGTGATGGCATTCCTGATACAAAAACAGCCACGAACGTACTGAACATAAAGGCACTTTATGGAGTGTCTCAAAGGTTTATCATCTTCCACCATGGACATTGCGGATATTTGTTGGGTGAGTTTTATCCCTGGTGACGGGTAGAATCTCCATGAAGACTTAGAAACACGCCTCGTAATGGGGGCTGTGGGAGCCCGGGGGAAATTCCAAGAGTTCACGAGATCCGTCCAGCGTCAGCAGGGCCTTCGTTCCAGGGTCTCTCTGATCACAGCTCCCACCCCACCCCCATGCCCTCCACCCACCCCACCAAAATACAGGAAATGACCCAAGGAAGACAGACCTCATTGGAGGTTAAAGGTAGCTGGCCCCCACCTCCAACATGAGGTCTGCGGGACAGTAGACACAGAAGCAGTGTTGGGCTTTTTTTGTTTTTCTTTTCTCCACCGCGGAGAGCATGCCTGCATTCTACAAAGTTATGCTGGAAGGCGGGCTTGTCAGTTAGCACGTCTGGGTGTTAAGCTAAAGTTCTTCCTCCGCTTTACGAAGACTTCCACCGGATTAAAGAGAACACGGCGTGGGCCACGTACAGCAGCGTGGCTACGTAAGAAAACACCTGGAACAAGACAAAGGACCATTAGCGGGCAGGCTGGGGACAGGGCACGGCGTGCACCAGGGTGGGCTGTGCACCAGGCGGGCTGCTCACGCTGTTCAGGGCGACAGACCCGCCCTGTGCGGCCAGCCACTGCTTCCCATCACTCACGCGGCACTTCTCTGCCGAGCCCAGATGTGGCCCCAGAATGCTTTCGGCACAGAGCTCCAGCTGGCCAGCCCGACCGCTGGACTCTGCGTGCAAGATCAGCTGTCTACCTTCTCGCCCCATCATGTGGGTGCCACCCATCTAGAAACGGGCCTCAGAAGAAGAGTATCAACTACTCTCCATGGAACACTTCCCTCCTCCACCCCAGTAGCCCATCAACTGTGGCCCCAGCAGCCTCTGCTGAGAAATGTGAACCTGTAGGTTTGTTGGTTCTGGTGAAGGTCTCGGTGCCTGGACAGCCTCAGGCCCCAGCATGATTTCCTTCTATGACTCTTAATGTCACAGGCCTGGGTGAGGGGCAGGGCTTCAGAGGATGGATTTTGAGCTTTTGCACCAAAGGGGGTGCTTAATGAGAAAGCTGCTCTGGCGTAAAGAAGAAAGGACTGGAAATGTGGCTATTGGTGGCTTGATGGCTGTCACACCCGACTTTCCCACTGGGCACCCTTTACTCCTATCACCCCGCTCTGGTGGCTGGCCTCCCTGAAGGCTGCCGGCCCTCACAGCAACTATCTGCACCTGGTCTTGTGACCTTACGCTCAGGATCAAGAGTTTCCAAGCCGGGCACCGCATTTAGGGTGGCCACGCTTCCGTGGCTTTGGAAAATGCTCACAAACAGCGGCGGCACCATGTTACTCAGTCCCCTACTCCACACATGGGCGAACCCTTCAGTCTGGTTGGCCAGAGGCGATGAGTGAGCCGAGTTACTTAGTAACAAACATAAAACTCATCCGGGGACTCCCAAGCCCCCGGTCTGGAAGGAGCAGTCATACATGCTGCTCAGCCCCCTATGAAGACTCCCCACTACCAGCAGGGGCCAGTTCCCCGTCTGGGAATTCCAGACCCATGAGAACCCTCCACAGAAACTCCTCAAAGTTCCCACAGAAACAGGAAACAAGTTATCGACTCTCAGGGCCCTGGTTCTCCCCTGTGACCTGGCGAGATGACAATGCCTACACCCGAGGCTGCTGGGAGGGTCGAATAGGAGTGTTCCCGGGGAGCTCCCAGGCCAGGCACTCAACTGGCATGTCTCTCCCTCCTGCCCTCGGCGAGGGCCAGGCACGCCCCTGGGCCAGCCTGGGCCTGGCAGCACCACACTGACTTATGGCAAGGCGAGTCTTGGCCATCACTTCCCTTCTGGGCTTTGCTTCTTCAGAAAGGAGGGGGAGGTTTAGTTCATTCAAAAGTTAGTGAACTAAAACAATAGAGAGGAGCCCGGGGCAGGGGGAGGGCGGGGGGGGGGGGGGGGAGCCTGGCGGACTCACCACAGCGGAGATGTTCTCGTGGTACTGCCTGTAGGTGAAGCCCTCGTACATCTGGATGGTGGCCAGCGCTTCCAGGACCGAGGCGCTAAGGTAAAACAGGGCGGCGGTGCAGTGGTAGGCTGCGTCCTGCAGGGTCAGAGAGATGGGGCTGGCGTGGATATGAGGGCAGCAGTGGTTCGGCAGGGCCAGTCCACGTCTCTGTCCTCACCTGGCCTGGCTTTGGTCCCCCTAATCCTCCCATCACCACCCCCCTCACAAACTGCTAATGGGCGTTTCCCAGCAGAGGTTTTTGTCACTGGGTTGGGGCCAGAGCCAGGGCTTCGGTGAAGAAGGGATGCCGTTTTCCCGTGAGGTGGGACCAAGAAAGGCGGGAGCATTCACTTAATAGGTGGAAATGGCTCCTGCATTCCCAGTCCCAGGTAGGATGCAGCCTTGGTGGCCAGCGTGAGGTGAGGGGCCCAGCCAAATCCGCACCCCTTCAGGGCAGGTAGTGGCAGGTGTCTCACATTTTACCCTCTTCATGGGCCTCAAGGCAGAACTTATGCCGAAAGAGATCAAAGGTCATCTCCCGGCCCCTCTAAGTCCCTCTGGCAACCTTGCTTTAGGAGGCATTACTGGGAGCTGGGCCATAAGCATGTCCTCCCATTGGGCAGCCAAGGCCAACGCCAAGGGCAGGGTGGAAGCCGGCCCTCCTGGAGGAAGGAGGAGCCACGAGGACCTGGCAGGTGCCAGCAGTGAGGGCAGGGGTGGGCTGCTGGGTTTCCTTGAAGACGGTCGTGCAAGAGAAAGCAGGGTAGGCTCAGCGAGAGTCAGGCGGGGACCATCAGCCTCCTCCTGACCTCCCAGCGCCAGGGAGCCATGGATGCCTGGACAGCTTGAACTTGGAACATGGGAGGGGCACATCTACAGGGTAGCCTCGCCCAGAATGGGAAAAGCCAGCCTCTCGGGAAGAGGGTCCGAATTGCCCCCCCACCCTCTCAGACCTTCCAGCTGGGACTCACCAGGGTGATCCAGGAAGCCTCCCCTCCGTGAGCACCGATGATGTACAGGACGAGCAGGGTCGTGGTGGCCACGAAGCAGAACACAGACACGAACATCACCCATCCCTGGACCAGTGGCATGGGCACCAGGGATGAGGCGATCAGAATCCACACCAAGCCCCCGAAAACCTGCAGAGGGAGCAAGAGAGGGAGGGTGAGCATGGGGCCGGGAAGGGGTCAGGCTGAGCAGGAAACGGAAGGGAGGCAGAGAACATGGGGACACTGTCCTCACCGGGAAGACTCTCTCATCCCCTCTAGGCTGGGGTCACCCATCCCCGTCTCTCCAATCCCCCGCCTGATTGCCTTTTCCATTTAAAAAATGCAATTGAGATTTTCAATTTGACAAGTGCTTATATCACATTTATATACCAGGCATTGTCCTGAAAATGTTAACTCAGGCCCTGGCCGGTGTGGCTGGGTGGTAGAAGTGTACTGAACAGTTGGAGTTTTGATTTCCAGACAGCACACATAGGTTTCAGGTTTGATCCTCGGCCCTGGTTGGGGAGCATGCGGGAGGCAAACAATCGATGTTTCTCTCTTTCCTTCTATCTAAATAAATAAGTAACTAAATGAAAATGTCCTCAGGTGAGGATTAAAATATGTATAATCTTAGTTAATCCTCACAACACCCTATGAGTGAGGTACTGACCCATCTGTCAGAAATGGAGGTACATAGAAATTAGGTAATGTATTGTCTAGTTTTCATTAGAAGGGTTGTCTTTATTCTGAGGTTATATCCTTCCTAGTATCCTAATATTAAAATATCCTTTCTTTTATGAAATGGTAGTGACCAGCAAAATAAACTAGTCACCTTATGTCATTAGCATTTTTTAATGTTTTTATTTTTATTTATTTGTTTATTTTTTTAATAAATCTTTATTGTTCAGATTATTACAGGTGTTCCTCACCCCCCAACCCCCAGCATTTTTTTTTTTAATCTGACCCCTGAGATCCCCAAGTCTGGGAAGTGCGCTGACACCTGGAGTCCAGCTGGAGTGGAGAGGACTCCAGTCAGCCCAGTCACACACACACACACACACACACACACACACACACACACCCACACACGTGGCCCAGGACAGGCCTGGAAGCAACACTGCGCATTGTTACCCACAAGACACCCCATGTTGTCCACAGCGTCAGTGAGCCCCATGCTTTCAAAAAGGAGCGTGAAGACAGACATGGTGCTCAGTGACACCCCTCCAGGCCATCGTTCCACGTTGCGAGGACGTGCTGGGATTTTCTTCCCTCTCCTCGTCCTCCTTCATCCCAGTGAAATCAGCTCAGCCTTACCTCCCCGCCCCACCCCATCAAGGACCGTACGTGGAGCTGGAGGTGGGTGGACACAGCTTTGCAGTCAAAGGTTCCCAGGTACTGGGATGCGTGACACTGGTTTCCTAAACATCAGCTCCCAGCCCTATGGTCCGAACGCACGCGATACCTGCTCCCACCTGCTGGGTAAGAGAGCCTACGGTCCTCATGCATGTTCTCGGCCACTTGGCTGGGAAACATCAGGAGAGAATCACATTTGATGGAAAAGTCGGTGCATTTATCCAAACCAGGCTGGGCCTAATGCATCAGATATGAGCCTCTCCACCAGGAAAGCCTTCTTACTGATGCATCTGAGCTGCCTGAGACCTGCGACAGAGCCAATAGGACACACTTTACACCTTACAACAACTGGAGCAAAACCAATGAACTACAAACCCTTGGGCAGCCATAGAACAAGATGTGTGTGCAGATCCCACCCATGGTGGCCTTTAGGATCAAGCAGATCACTCGGCCTTTTCCATAATGGGCACTGACAAAGGGACGCAAGCGTGCTGATCGGCAGACAGGAAGTGGATTTAGGGGGCATGACTGTGTGGCATGGAGAAGGGAAGGAAGGGTGTCAGTGCCTGGCTGGTTGGCAGAGGCAGGGGTTTAGGACACTCCTCTCCTGAGCATCCCCTGCTGGTCACCTAGTGACGATGCAAGGGGGACTAGACCTGTTTAAGTCAGTCCCCAGGCACATGCTCTAAGCCCTAAGGATCCTGCACTGCTCTTTGGCAGCACTGGGCCCCAAACAGATAACTATTCCATTAATTACAAAACTGCACTTTGCCGGACCAGGTGATGGACAGGTCCCTTGCTCACAGCTAACCCTGGGTGTGGGACACCTGTCTAGCCATGCATCAGTGTCTGAGTTAGGGACTTGGCCTCAGGGTCCTGATCGATGGGTGTGGCTTAGCTAGAGCCACATGTGAGTCAATCCCAAAAGGAGAGCTTGGGGCGCCCATGGAGGAGTGCACTCATGATGGACCTGTGTGGCTGGAGTGTCTTCGTGGTCTGCAGACATGGCATGGGGGACGCTGAATGTCACAAGAGGAAAATGGTTCCTTTTCATTCTCTGGCGTTTCTAGAGCAGAGAGAGGGGCTCAGGGGGAGCCAGGCATCTAGAGCTCCCCTAGAATATTGGCTCCAAGGACGGGTGAGCAGAGGGAAGCAGAATAACAACATTTTTTAATTTTTTAACTCAGTGATATAGTTATTTGGGGGGAATTAACTGTAAAATATATTAACACACAGATGGCATATGGAAATGGCAAAATCTGAGGAGGTAGCTCTTAGCCCCTGGCCTGCAGACCATTTAACTGTCATCTGGACTCTTCACCAGGTTGCCTGGCTAGAACCAAGGGCCAGAAAAAGAAGGTGAATGCCAAGTGAAGTCGCTGCACTGAGGGCTCGCCATGGGTCCTGACCATGCTCTCACTGGATGTGACCGTGACTCTGGTGTCCAGCTCCTGGCACCATGGCAGAGGGAAGCTGCAAGGTGAATCCGGACCTCCTGACCGGCTTCAGGTGTGGTTTTATCTCATGAAGACTGTGCTCCAGCTTTGTAGAAAAACAGACATCTCTCTCTCTCTCTTTCTCTCCCCTTCCTGTCTATGGTAAGAACACATCCCACCTCTGAGTATAGCCACCTTGCAAAAGTCCTTCAGAAAATTATGCTGACTTTCTTTTCTTTTCATTATCTTATCTGTAAAATAGGTTTCATAGTGAGATGGTGGGGAGAAATTCTTTTAAATGAGATGTAATTCACATGCCATACGATTCACCCATGTCACGTGTACAACTCAACAGTTTTTCCTATTCACAGAGTTGTGCAAGCATCATCCCCAGTCCACTTAGAATAATTTCATCACCTCAGAAGAGAAACCCTGTGCCTTTAGCTATCGCCCGCCTCCACCTCTTCCATCCCTACTCGATAGCTCACCAGTTCTGTCTCTATAGACGCCCCTGTTCTCACCTTCCACATAAGTGCAATCATATAACATGTGGCTTTTGTGATTGGCTTTTTTCATTTAGCAGAATGTCTTTCAAGGTGAGAAATTCTCTCTCAGAGAAACTTTTACAAATAATACCTCTTTTTCGAAACACCCATAGCCCGTTCTGACCCCCACCATTTGAGGGATACCGAGTGAATGTGTCTCATCTCTTTGGGGCATCCAAACTGGGAAGAGCTGGGGTTCCCAGGGAAGTTCTTTTTTAAAAAAAATATATTTTATTGATTTTTTTACAGAGAGGAAGGGAGAGGGATAGAGAGTTAGAAACACCAATGAGAGAGAAACATCGATCAGCTGCCTCTTGTACACCCACTACTGGGCATGTGCCCGCAACCAAGGTACATGCCCTTGACTGGAATCAAACCTGGAACCCTTCAGTCCACAGGCTGAGGCTCTATCCACTGAGCCAAACCAGTTAGGGCTCCCGGGGAAGTTGTTATAAGACAGATGCCACCAGCCCCGCCAGGCCCAGAAACATGTTTTAAGTTACACATCACAAGAAGGGACTGTCCTCAGCACAGATGACATGGTTAACCCCATGGCTTTTGCTCCCAGGAGATGGGTGGTGGGCCTGCTTTCTGCCCTCACAGCCCTGCCTAGGAGGTGCCCCAGGGAGAAAGGCAAGGCAGCTGTTTTGGGAGGGGCCACCTGGTAGGGCTGCTGAGGTGGGAGCAGAGCAGACCTGGGCACAGGGGGTTGAGTTGTGGAGAAACCCTAATCCCAGTTAGACATGTGTGAGCAGGGTCCTGGGCACAGATGCCATGCTGTGAGGATCCCAGGGCAGGGGTGTTAGAAGCTGTGACCGCTCTGCTCCCTGGCACAGGTGAGGTCCTTTACATGTGAGCCCTGAGAGGGCACCACCACATCTGATGACAGAGACTGTGGCAAGAGATCCAGCCACTTGGTCTCAGCTTTCTGGTTTGTAAATGACAAGTTGTCCCTGTCGCCCCACATTGCACTGGTGTGAACTGGCTGGAACTACGGACATGAGCAGGGATCTTCCGGCACCAAGCTTCTGGCATCGACCAGGGGTAAGACATGCATGCTCAGGAGGCCCACAGCCCAGTGGAGATGGACACAGAGGCCACCAGTCTCACGGCAGGATGATGGCCAGGCCTGAAGGTGAACCTGGTTGGTTAACTAGGCCAAAGGCTCAAGAAGTAGCTTTTTGGGGGAGAAAAAGGACATGCCAGCTCAGCGGATGCGGAGGCAGCAATGAGGGTGTCAGAAGGCCAGAAATCAAGCATGAAGCGAGGGGCAATCAGTGGCAGGACACAGAGCTCAAGGGAGGGGGAGCTATGAGATAAAACTGACTAGCAAAGTCATGGCAGAACTGGGATTCTGCGTGAATCATGGGACCAAGCCAGGACCTGCCCCTCTCCGCCCAGCAAGTGTGCAGAGAGCAAACAGAGCACGGGCTGCACCCACACCCGGCAGATAAGGCACCCTGGACAGGGAGCGGTCACTCTGTCCCAGCCACAGGACCCCACTGGCCAAATATTTGTCAAGAGCAAGGGGGTAGGTAAAGGTTCAAGTACTTCCCTTCATAAAGAACACTCTCACTGGCCCCAGCTTCCAGGAAGCAAATGCACAGAGGCCATCACCTACCGCCCCGGCCTTCAGGTCACCATCGACCATGACAGGGATGGCGCCGGGTGGTCTCAGACAAACGTCTCTAAGTCCCTGGGCTGAACTCTCTCTCTCTCTCTGGGACCCAGCTCCCCAAGCTGGAACGGCAGGTGGGACCTGGGCTAACGCTGTATGGTTTTCAGCTCAACTCTTCATGCCAATTACTAGAGACAC